ATAGGGCTTTCTCGAAATTCTCAGATCAGATTCGCCATTTCCCTATCTTTTCCAAGGATTTTCCGAACTGGCACTGTCACCTGTGAGGATCCTCTGTACACCTCCTGCTTGCATGACAACATGAATGCCATCTATGAGGCGACCAGTTGACCCCGGTTGATTGGTTAAACATATTGGGAATATAACTGATATAACCATGATTATTCTAGCGGGGTTAAGAATCACACATATGAGGATATGATATAGTTGATAAATTGGTATATTTGACGTGGATTTGGGGATTGTCATGGTATTTAAACATGATTTAAACCCTCATTTATTGCTTGCCTTAAAACCATTAAACACATGACATGGAGATCTCATTAATAAATGATATCATTAATAAATGATGGTTGGATGGTAGTTGATCAACTGGATTTCGCCAAAAATGGGCCGGTCTCAATCATCAGAAAAATGGTGATTTTTCATTGATATAAAGACATGATGGCCGGTTATTAATCCCATCCTCCTAATATTAACAGTAATATTAGCCACTCCCTACATGGTCCCAGTTTATGTGGAAATTCCCTACCAAACTATGGTTGATAGGGGGTGTTTAATATTAGGGGGAAGGGATGATTAAGACATGATGGTTGGTTATTAGTTGGGGTTGCTTAGCTGTCCGGTAAAAAAATGGGATCCTCTCTCGGCCCGTGAGAATCCCGAAACCAGTATGAGGGGATGAAATTTCGGGTTTTGAACACTGTTCAATTGAGCCATTAAGAAAATAGCCTAGTGATTGGTTGTGAAATAGAGAGTTTTACCACATTATTAGGGATTTTGAGGATCTTATACGAATGGGAAACCTATCAACCAACTAGTATAGCGAGATGGAGCAGCCATATTTTTAGTGGCTTTGGAAAGCAACCCCCATTTCAAAGCCTCACAACCTGAAGCAGGCATTGTAATAAGAAAGCTTAGTTTTGCCGCAGTTAGCCCACGATAACAGGAGAATCTAGGGCCATCCCCTCAGCAAATCCAAGGGAAAGGGACAGTCACCTCCCAAAACTCTCATTTTTCTGGTGAGTTGTTCAAGAAAAAATAAAAAATCAGCCACGTTTTAGTTGGGTCTTGATCGCCAATTTCTTGATGAATGCTCTCATTTTTGGGGTTTCCAAAAATTTTTCGGGATCCCCCAGTCGTCACCATAGGTTTCAATGATTTGGATGATTTTTTTCAGGTACCCCCATCTTAGGAAGCCTCCATATTGGACCACAGTCGAAAGTACATGAAATTACCCTCTGGTTATGTCAAACATAGCTATTGAACATGGCAATTTATCGTGGATTTACCCACTAAAAATGGTGATTTTCAACAGCTATGTTAGTTTACCAGAGGGTATGGTGTGAGACCAAAAGTATGATGCCAGAAACCTCCAGACTTTAGCGTTGTTTTGTTCCCTTGTATATGGCCTTGGTGGCAACTCCAATCACAAGACATGGATGTGGGAACCCGAAAATAGAGAGCAGTACCTAAAAGGGAGGTCCGCCCGGGTGGCAGCTGGGTCAACCTTTCCTGAGGATGAATCAGGGGTCCGCCTGTCTTGATGATTTTATCATATTTTACCATGAATTTTCCAGATTTGATGATTTTCAGTATATACCATCCAGAAACTATATCAGATTTGATGAGTTTAAGTTTGTACATCTCTACGATCTATTCATATCTAGTCCATTTTTTTGGGGATTCCTCAACTCGAAAAGGTCCAAAAATATGGGGATTTCTCACCTGGCAGGAAGTGGGCTACGCCAAGGCGCCAAACTATGAGGATTAGGTGCGCGGCGGTCAGGTCGCCCCATAAGTTGGGATATGTGGGATATGCAGCCCCCTTTTTTTCTGGTGAAATATATCCACTTAGTGAACTATATGGAACATCTGGAACTGCAAAACTGTGAGTATAGTTCACTAAGGTTTTTTTTTAATGATTTCAGGATGGGCAGGAGATTTTGGGCCTTTTTTTGGGACACCGACACCTCAAATGCAGTGGCAAGATCTGTCCAACCTGGGGCCAGGTGCACAGAGTGAAGCGTGAAGGGCCGCGCGATCCTGATCCGAAGTGGCAGACGTTGTGGTTTTTTTGTTCCATCCGATTGCCGCATGGCTCAATGCACCAATTTTTTTTAAGGACTTCAGAAACTTAAAGTTGACGTTCATTTCTTCATGACCAGAATCGTTTGACCCGCCTAAAAATAGGTTTTCTTGAGTCAGAAAGGGAACAAAAAATGAAAAAGATACCAATATCGCTCTTGGTGTTGGATATGTATGCTACCCCCTGGTAAACTAACATAGCTATTGAAAATGGCCATAGAAATAGTGGATTTTCCCATCAAAAATGGTGATTTTCGATAGCTATGTTAGTTTACCAGAGGGTAACACTGTCTACGACTTGTCAACTGCCCCGTTCCCGGATCACTGTCTATGGCGCGACGTTAACTGACGAGGCCAGTGCTACTGACCGCCGATGGCGACTGCGAGGTTTTTGTTTGCTTCCGACGTTCAAAAAAGGGGTCCAGTTGCCCTCTGGTAATCCAACATGGGAAGCTGGGAATTCCCCGAACTACATAGGTTGTTAATTTTTTTTTGAACCTCGTCTAGAAATAGAGGATTTTAAGCAAGCCGATTACCAGAGGGTAAGGAACAAGAACTGTGGAGGACTGGGAAATGTGTAGTGAATTGTTGGCACAAGCAGCAGAAGTGGGACTATGATAAGGATGGAAGTAACGTAGGAAGATTGCAAATGAGAATGGGACTGGAGTACTTGGAGAATCATCATACTTAGTGAGTTGTTAATAACCAATCATAAGCTGAGTTGGTAAGTCCCCATTCAGTGGGGTTATCTCATATACATATGTATATATATATATATGTATATACACTCCAGTAAATTAACATGGACCCTGGCATTTTTCGGGGCTGGAAGATGAGTTTTTACTAAGAATTGGTTATTTTCAGGGTCGAACTGTTAATTTACCAGGGGTAAATCATTCATAATATCATAACTATGGAAAATCATCATTTTTTATAGGTACATGAACTATTTCTATGGCCATTTTCATCCATTTTCAATGGCTGTGTTAATTTACCAGAGGGTATCTCTGTGATAAATATGGTGATCAATCAGGTCCGAGGCGGGACGATCCTCCCAGTAGAGATGTGGTTTCAAACAGCCTCTGGTAATTTAACGATTTGCTACATTGAAGTAAGTAAATTAACTACACATAATTTGGATAAATGGTTAAAATTGGTTAACTACTCTTCATGGTTCCATGAAAAATTAACGATTTGGTGGTAATTTGATAATGGAACATCTCACATTGTAATAGGTAAATCATCTACAAATGGGTCATGGCTTCATAGCTACTTGGATCTTAAATTGCCAGAGGGTATATCATTCTGGGTAAATTAACGACCTCACTGTTCTCCCTCACTGGAATAATGGTTAGGATTCGGGGAATTATTTCAATATGGTCGACTTTTCAGGTTAGTGAGTTATTACAATTTGCCCAGATCATCAAACATATCCCACTAGTAAGAGCTTATAAGTCATAAGTTGCAACCCAGCTCTGAATCACTTGGAGAACTTCGGGGTTGTCCCCAGTGGATTCCAAGTTTGCCTTGGAAACACAAGAGTGGAATCTTTAGGAGTCGTTCAAGAGGTCCTAGGGGTGGCTAAATGTCCAATTTTCTTTGTGATTTTGGATCCCCTCTGGTCATTTGACATATGGAAAATCACCTTGTTTAATAGTAAATCATCTACAAAATGGTCCATTTTCCATAGAACTCCGCAACAAAAAACACCTGAAGTTTTCCCAGAATATTACAGATTGTTGGACATGGCTTATAATTCTCAGCGTGTTAGACTTCTAGGTCAATCTTGGATGGGTATTTTTTATCCTTTAGTCTTTTGGTATCAATGGGATTATCTACGTTCACCAGCGAAGAATTTCTTTTTTGAAGGGTATCTGGCTGATTGGCTATGTATTCGGCATAGCTAAGTTGATCTATAAACCCCATGACTACTTTAGTTGGCCATGTCATCATCCCAACTGACGAACTCCATCATTTTTCAGAGGGGTGGCGAAAAACCAACCACCAACCAGATTTTTTGATTCCCATACCATAGATGTCCCAAATTCCCATAAATTCCCATGGGTTGGTTGATGAAAATAGAGGGGTTTATGAAGGTTTACCCCTTTAACAACAGCTTTCTATGATGATTGGCCATGGGGAAAGGCCGAAAGAATGGCGTTTCCAAAAGGCCCAGATGAACCTGATTTTCGCCGTTTTTTCCATCTTCTTTTCCCCTTGAACATGCATGACAGTCGCCAGAAACACCACGAATTTTTTCCAGTTGCCATCTGGTTATTTAACAGTTCGCCATGGAAAATCACCATGCTATTAATAGGTAAACCATCTATAAATGGGCCATTTTCCATGGCTACGTTAAATAACCAGAGGGTATAACCCCAAGAAGATTCAAAAAAGGTTAAGTTTACAATGTTTTCCCCTGATGGCTAGGATTCTCTTTTACTTTTCCCATGGTTTTTCAGGCTTATCCAATACAGAAAATTGGTAACTCCTACAATGTGGGGCCCCGTTCGATAGCTAAGTTGGTGCAAACTCCCATTTCACTATGGTTTATGGTACGCAAAAATAACTATAATTAGTATTCATGGGGTTTATTTATAAACCAACTTAGCTATCTTGGGGGGCCCCACATTGTAGAACTAGTTGGTTATACATCATGAACCCATATGAGCTATGGTCAATACTCATGGTTAATAACCATTGATAGGGGCTAGTCATCCAATGGTTCCACTCGGGATTTATAATAACCATTATAAGGATCCTTAATATGGATGGGATGACCATCAACCATATAGTGAGTATTGACCATGGCTCATATGAACCCAGGAACTTCAAGGCTTTCCATCTCTGATGTCCCAAAGTTGACCGCTGAGGCTCGGGAGCGTCCTGAGCGACCCAGGGACGAGGCCTGCCTGATTGGTCCCCCAAACTCGTGAGTGACCAACGGGAAGAGAGCGAGAAATCACCATCAATATAAATATGTATATATATATTGTTTTATAGTGATTTATAGTGATTTATAGTGATTTATGATGATATAGGGATATCTATAGCAATTTATCTTCATCGGCGATAATATCATATATATATACATATAATAATGGATATATTTATGTATATATATATATATTATAATACAGTAAGCATCAAAATAGGAGTTTAATTGTGACCAACGGCGATCATCGGAGATATCATATAGTGATTTATAGTGATTTGTAGTGCTGAAAATAGATATTTACAGATATTTAACCATCAAAACGGGGTTTTATGGTGAAGAACATCGGGATTCAACGAGCAAACATGGGTTTCTAGACCAACGACTGGAGGGCCTCACCTATTCTTATCCAACCACCATCGGTGTCCATGATTTATCGATATTTATAGTATCCCAAAAAGAGGCAGAAAAGGTTCATTTGATCACCAATTAAATCAGATTTTACCAAATTCTATCTTGTTGGGTATTGCTATGTATTGCTATAAGTGGCTATAAGCAATAAGAATGGTGGTTTGACCAACAATAGGTAGAAAACATCATCACGAATGGGTATCTAGCAATATCCGGGCTTGCTCCAAGCCATTAGGGGAGCTGCTCGACGGATTTTGAGCCTCTTTGAATCCCCAGATTTCGAAGATCAATGGAGATGTAGATGAAACTAGAAACAGGGAGAACTACCCCCCAAAATTTTACCCAGACAATAGGGCTATAGGGGCTTGATGTTTAGCGTCAAAGCTGGGTTGCTGGTGGTTATAACGGTTATGCGCCCAAAAATTCGAAGAGTCGAAGCTTCCGCTCGGGTGCTCGAAGGTCTTAATGCGAAATTCCACATGTTCATACTAAATACCCATTGAACCCACAATATTAGTTGGTTTACATATTCTTCTAAATCATTACCCATGAATAACTACATTAAACCAAGGTTTTGCTGGGTACTCCAGACTAAATCCCCCATTTTTTACCCCGTTAAACCACAATGTTTATCCATTTTAGGTAGTTCAAAAGCATATTAAACCACATTTTTATCCGTATTTTTATGAGTTTGCCTTGACTTTCCATCTTGTTTTGGCCATGGCCGCCCCGACTTCCGTCCCCAACTTGCCGCCTTTCTCAGGCGGAGGCTGCGCGCCCGCGCGCGCCTGAAGCGCCGCCGGAGAGGCCCCCTCTGGTAAAGTCACATAGACCCTGGCAGATTTAGTGGGATTTCATGGGATTTAATGGGATTACCCTCTGGTAACCATATGTGGTAAATACCCACTATATTACCATAGGGGGAAGAACCATCCATGAATTAAGCATCTATTTTATGGTACCATCCAGGTGTGAGGGGTTTGACTCATAGCCATATGTATACATATATATAGGTCAATCGACTGGATCGGTAGAAACTGATCCTTTAGTCTTTTGGTATCAATGGGATTATCTACGTTCACCAGCTAAGAATTTGGTACTAACCAGCCTATTCTTGTCTTTTCTACATATGGAGGTTTCCTAGAATAGGGGCACCCCCAAGTCCATTTTAGATTTGGATTGTCCATGAAATAACCCATCCAACTATTGGGGTATCGTCATTTTAGGAAACCTTCATATGTGGTAAATAGGGGATGTTTAGTCATTTTTTTTGGAGTCAAAAAAGGTGGTTTATTAAGTAGGGGATGAATCCACATATCCAGAATTTAGACCATACAAAGGAGGTGAACATGTATGAATGGAGGGATGGGATGACCATGTGATTTTTTCTTTCGAAAATTCTATGGTGAAAGCCGCGCAGCTTTCTGTACATGGGTGTGTCTGAAAATAGAGAACACCCAAAAAAACCCAATGGTTAATGATCATTATCCCTATTAAATGGCTATAATTGGGAATATACCCTATTTTCAGACAAACCCACATGTATGAGGGGCAAATCCGTATGTGAGGCTTTGTGTTGGTGCCTGATTTACACAGCGAGGACATTTTGGCTTCAAAGAAGTAGGACGTGGAGTTTGGAAGGCACAAAACTGATGAATTTCTATTTGTGGTAAGCCATATCTTGGGGTACAAAACCTAGAATTTCTATGATATTCCATGGTTTTGCTTGCTTCCCTGACTTCGACACATGACATGGATAATGTTCCAATACGGGGTACCTATTGGACAACAGGCACATATTTTGGGTATTTCCGCATAGGAGCTCAATAATCCTAATCCTTTGATGAACCTACCAAAGACACGTGGATATGAAACTGACAAAAATGGTGGATATAATCCTGTAAAACTAGCAACGCTCTAGATCATGTGGTAAACCCAATAATAAACCTACCATTTGGGGATGGTTCATAGTTACTAGGCTTTACCACATTATCTCGCATTTTTGGTGTTGTTCAAACACGTCGCACGTCGTAATTTCAACCGTTGATGTTGGCAGGAGTGCAAAGCCCCGCCGGCCGCACAAAGAGGCCATCATTGGGTATGCTGCCATCATTACCATCTGGCCCATAGAAATAGATGGTCTACCTATTGAAAATTGTGATTTTCTATAGCTATGTCAAATCACTAGAGGGTACCCTTTGGGGTAATATATCCTTATATTCCACATACTCAAATGGTGTCGGTGAATCCACATCTAAGTAGAAACTGGGTAGATATCGTTTTTGTTTTTTTTTTTCAGTGAAGATTCCACTGAATCATTGATTTTGTTTGATCATGTCAATGGAATTTCGCCATTTCTAGTTTTTTTTCCCCGCCCTCTGGTAAACATACAAACAACTATTGAAAATCACCATTTTTGATGGCTAAATCAACTATTTCTATGGGACATGGCTTCAATAGCTATGTAAACGTTTACCGGAGGGTATATCAATGGGAATTCCAGGATCCTAAAATGGAGGTACGTTAGTACCATATTTTTGGCCATATTTTGGGGGGATATCCCCTTACATAGGCCTGAAAAATAGGCCTTATTTATGGTAGGTACCTCCAATTTAGGATCCTGAAATTCCCATTGAGTATATATCTGTTTAAACACAAGTTCTTTTCCTCTGCAGCTTGGTGAATTTTCCGGAGTCTACCCTGGAAAGATTCATCATCTGTAGCGTACAGGATGGGGCCCCCAGTCGAGCTCGCGTGAACCGTTGGTTTATAAACCATAAATAGTATTGGCTATATAGTATTGGAACTATATAAACCATTATAATCTATAGTTATATACTATATAGTTAATACCCCCATGAAATAATCCCCATGAATACTATAGTTATATCTACCATAAACCATAGAATTCAGCCACTTATAAACCAACTGAACGCTATCGACTGGGGGCCCCATCCTGTATGTTTCTTCAATCCACATTTTTGTTGGTGAAAAAATCAGTTTCTTTGGTGGAATTCCACCATATAATGTGGATGATTTGCCTAGATTTGTCCCTTCAACAGGCTTGTTTCATGTTGTTTCCAGCCATTACAAGTGAGCATATTAGCCGCAAGTAAAATGGCTCAGGGTTGTTTCAAGCCATTTTTCATCTTGTTTTAACCTTTCAACCCATTACAAGCTACCAAGTGAAACCCCCAAATGACGCCCCGAGGCGGCGCCTGCAGAGGCAGCGCCGGCCAACTCAGCTGCACCGGAGGCGGCGGAGTTACCGGCGGGAACTCGGGCGTTTAGGAGGAAACTAAGGAGCTACGGGTATCCAATGGTATCCATATTCCCTACCCTCTGGTAAAGTAACATAACTATGGAAAATCACCATGCTATGAATGGGAAAACTCACTATTTCAATGGCCATTCTTGATAGCTATGTTAAATTACCGGAGGGTAGTACTAATATGTACAGTACTAATGTGGAGTGGTAAGATGTGGTGGGATTATCCACTTCATGATTTTCATGGGATTATAATCCGACAAAAAATCCTATTGAGCAACGTGAGAGAAATCTATCCTATAGGATTTATTATAATCTATTTGGGATAGTTGGGATATTTGGGATAATGTGGATAAAACAATGTCATAAACCACCCATGACTGGGAATGGTTTATATATACCAGCCATAAAGGTGGTGATGACTGGGGGATGGTTTATGGCATTGTTTTACCCACATTACTAATATGTACTAATGTGGAGTGGTAAGATGTGGTAAGGAGCTACGTTTATAGAGTTTCCCAAGCACAGGATAGATATGATAGTTCATCATTCCGGTCTTAGTGCCAAGATGAACAAAAGTTGATCTTCCGAGAGGGAGGATCGTACCATTTGGGATGGACCTAACCAAGAAATAGGGATATAACGACCATCATTGTCGCTTATAACTTAAGTGAGAACCGAATAATTGACCATAGAGATTGAGCGATATAGTGATGTGAATTGGTTGTAGGTGATTCAGGACAATGGTGAAGTGAGGGAGAATTCAATCAGTGAATGATAACTAGACTACAATGGTATACCCTCTGGTAATTTAACATAGCTATTGAAAATGAACCATAGAAATAGTTGATTTACCTATTTTGAATGGTGGATCTTTCCATAGTTTTTTGTTAACGTTTACCAGAGGGTAAACCTCCATTTTCCTATGGTTTTCCTATGGCTATACCACTATAATCCCAGTTTACCAGGCCATAAATCACCGAGATTTTGGTGGTTTACAAAAGCCATCAATTTTGGTCAATGTTGGAGATGGTGGATCATCCAGGCTTAGCCGCGAAATTTGAAACCTGACGTTTTTCTTTACGACCGAAAAACGGCGGTGTGGGTCAGTTTGTAACTCAAAAAATTGAGCGATGGTCGCTAGTTGAATGATCTTTTTGGATTGGGTTGTTCATCCAAGTCTGTATATTTGTAGACCTGAGAAAACGCATGTTGTAGATGTACAGAAGTGCTTGGAATGCAACCCATCACTACCCCAAAGTGTTTCAAAACAGGGTACTAGTATCCCATGGTTGAAGGATGACGTTTCAAAAATAAAACACTGATTTCCTACAAACATGAAGATGCGTTCGAAGCCGCGAAGATTAGGGGGCCATCCCTTTGAAAGTTATGCCATCTCCCCCTTATTCATAGTATGGATCAAATTCAAGGCCCAGGGGACCGCAGATTCTGTTGATTATTAGTATCAACCACCATTTGCGAACTGGAAAATAGCAATTTTTCAACGGCACATCATCATAAATCATTGAACTAAATGGGCAACAATTCCATAACTATGTTAAGTAACCATACAGGATGGGGCCCCCAAGATTGCGTTCAGTTGGTTTATAAGTGGCTTAACAATGGTTTATGGTAGATATAACTATAGTTAATGGGGATTATAATGGTTTATAAACCAACTTATAACTGGGGGGGCCCATCCTGTAAGGGAACCTTCGAATTTTAGGAAGATCTAAGTTTGACCCATAGCCATATCGCTTGTGTTTTGGAAACCTGTATTCAAGTCACTGCAACAAGACAACTCACTGGCCCCCTTAGCCGTTTTGTATGGCTACAGGCAGGGGCCCTTCAACTTCCCCACGACCAAACTACTTCGATATTTTCACCACGAATCCGATGCTTCGCCATAAATCAACTGTCACACGTTATCAAACACGAGTTATGACATGATGTCATGATCAATGGTTACCATCAAATATGAAACACTCATCAATGGTTATGAAAATCATATTATAATCAAGTTTGATCAAGTCTGATCAAACCACCATTTTTGTTGATCATTTTCCCCCAAGTTTCAGTGGTAAAAACTCCCCATCCATTGCTTCCACGGAGGCTCCTCCCGTGGCTCCTTCGCAACCTTCGCCCCCGGTGGCAACCCATGGGCCCAAGGTGGGGCTTGTTGGATGGAACATGGGGATGTACGCAACAACCTGAGCCATTTTTTAGGAGATTTCAATGGACTTATGGACTCTAAACATCAATAGTCAATAAGTTGTTGTTTTTTTTTTAAATAGGATTAAAGATATAAGGATTGAAGATTTGCATGGATTGGAGTGTCATTCAGATATCTGAAGTAGTATCTTCAGATTTGTTGAAGCTTTTTGGGATTATATAGATGAGTCTTAGATGAGTAAACGGTAAAAGTTTGGCAAGTCCCACTTGCCCAAGTAATTCTTATCTTTTGGAAGGGGATCAACAAACTACCAAGTTGGTGAATTCTGGCTTCATTTCTGTTCGGTTACGGCAAGAAGACCATCCAGAAGACCACCCAAATTTCTGTTTGTGAAATTCCAACTTGTGCGTCTTAAGCTACCAGTGCGGCCAATGTTATTCACTTGCTAGTGGTGAATCACCGTTTAAACAAGGTGCTTGTCAACATTTTGCGGTCAAAACGCTACTTCATCCTTTTTTCTAACTAGTTGATTCACCAAAAGAAAGGATTCATCCTAAGACCAATCCGAAACCTATCTAAGTTCTATCCATGCCCAACTTGGCCTCCAATCGATCGTTCCAGCGTGCCTCTCCTCCGCGGTGCAGGTCCGAGCGTCGCGTCCAGCTGCCGGGTCCCACAAAATGGCTGATTTGATAGGGAAAAACAGCTCGGAAAGGGTCAAATAGGGCAACGTGGTGCATTTTCCATATCTATCATATCTATCTATCTACAATTCTATATACATCATGTGCATTTGCTGGAGGAGTTTTCCATCTAGCTGCGCCCGCGAAAATTCTTTTAGCCAACAGATACCAACTGGTTTGGGGGATTATGTTGGATGATCGGCCCCCAGAGATCGTGGTGTTTCGGCCTGGTAAACTGGGATTATAGTGGTATAACCATAGGAAAACCATAGGAAAATGGAGGTTTAGCCTCTGGTAAACGTTTACATAACTATGGAAAATGGATGAACATGGCCCAGTTATACTTGATTTACCTATTAGAAGTGGTGATTTTCAATAGCTATTTTGACATAACCAGAGGGTAAAACACAACAAGTTTTCACCAACACAGTAGGTTTTCACCTATGTTTACTATTAAAAACCTATAATTACCTATAAATTACCTATGTTTTTAATTTACCAACACAGTTCAGGTTTTAGAAGTTTTCATAGGTAGCCTCTGGTAATGACTAACAGTTTGCAACCTGGAAGCCTAGGGGCTCCATTTACCGAAGAAAAAAAGATGGCGAATTTCCATAGGGAACTGTAGACGTTTACCAGGCCGGATAAACCTCCATAGGATCCTATGGTTTTCCTATGGTTATACCACCAAAAAATCCCAGTTTCCTATGGTTTTCCTATGGTTATACCTGTCATGAATAAAGGTGCCTCGTGGTTTTCACGGATTCATTTCATGTGCCATCGTGGAACCCTTGGACAGTGAATCGCTCAAGTCGCTCAAGCACAAGGTGATCCGTCCATCCAATCGATCCAATCGATCTATCTACCTATCCGATCTATCTATCCATATACCAAATCTAATCTATATCCAATCCAAATAAAAAACCGAAAAAATGAAACCCAATCTGATTGCAATCTAATCCCATCCACAGCAACCTAATCTAAGGCAATCGTATCTAGCCTATTTTTGTCTTTTCTACATATTCTGTAAGTATCGGTCCATTTTTACTACATCTGCAGCCCGCCACGTCGCCACGTCTTTCTGTCTGAGGTTGAAGCACCCCGAGTGGAAGAGGACGGAATGCCCGCGGGATTTTTTTCCTTATTATTGGGAAATTTGATGGATGGTATATAACCAAAGATAATAAGACCGTGAAATATAATGGTTCTTTATTCACCCAAAATGGAAAATTTCTAGGTTTTGACCCATCCTCATATGAGTGTGTCTGAAAATAAGGTAAATACCATCCGAAGGACCATCCGAAAATGGGGATAGTGATCATTTTTGTCATTGGAATTGGGGACACCATATTTTCAGGCAAAGCCACTCCAGCCCACCGAGCATTTCTAAGCAAGACTGATATGAAACTCCAAGCATATAACCATAGTCGCGATGCGTAGTGCATATGATTCTGGCTGCTACATGGGTGTGAAGGTGTGTGAATATGACATTGGAGCAGCTGGCTGATGATTTGGGGGTGAAACGAGAGTACACGGGAACCATATGGGTTTGTCTGAAGATAGGGTACACCAAAACCCCCCTTGTTTATCATCATTTTCCCTATTGATGGTCACATTATGGATATACTCCATTTTCAGACACATCCATAAGTCTCATTCAACAAGGCATTGCTTACAGAATTGGCGTTTTTCCGGGTGCTGCTTGAGTGTTTCCCAGTTTAGTTTACCATTCAAAATCCACCATGTCTGTTTGGGATGATAAAATGGGGGCCCCCATTTGCGGAACTAGACATGTGCATGGCAGTACTCCAATAGTTGGATTGGGCCATGGCCCTTTCGAACGCTAGGCCTTGACATTCTGACGTTTTGATGACTGCATGGGCTGTTATACCTGGGTGATCTGCTTGAGAGCCAAAAGTCGTTGAGCCCTGCAACTACAGACACATTTTTGTCGGTTCTATAGTTCTATCTCAAATCAATCTATATATCCACATTTCTTCCACCTTTCTTCCACATTTCTGCTTCGCATATCCTCTTTCTTGTTGATGATGTTCCAGTTTTGCTTGCTTACATCCCAATTCTTGTTGTTTACGATGTTTATGTCATTTATGTCCCTATTTTTCTTGTTTGTATATCTCTTTCCCACGTTTTTGCCACTTTCTTTGGCCCACGTTTTTGGCACGCCCTGACACGGAGAGGAACAGATCGAAGTCCACGTGCCCATTCCTTCTCCACCTCATCACCAGGCCGGGAGAGTTGTGAGGGTGGCCTTTCTAAGCTGGAACATCGTGAGGACTGTCGATGGTTGCGAAATATTGCACCAGTTGGTAACTATGAAAGGTACCTGTGAACCACTCTTAATGGTCTAGTGGAATTATCACGGGAAAATCCATCTACCAAGTGGTGCAGAATTTCGCAACAGTCCACAGCAGTGGGTACATGTTCCAATGGTTTTAATGAATATAAAGTAGAAGATAGGTTGACTTATCTTCAAGACATGGTGGATACAAGATTCACCCCTTGGGTTTTCTATTTTGCTGGCTTTTCCATTGATTTCCATTGATTTCCAGTGGTGAAACCAAAGCAACAGATGTCTCTCTGATTTTTTCGATGAAAAGGGGGGGCAATGAGCCTCTTGTTGTCAAAGATGATAGGCTAGATCTTTGTTGGTTGATTACGTGGATAATGGTGGATTACTGTCCCACAATCGATCATTTTTTGGATTATGTGGATTTGCTGGTTGTTTGTTGCCAGGTTTGATGAGCGACCAAAGGGTAGATAGTCCCCAGATATCTCTTCAAGAGGTCAGACCAACTTGAAGAGGGCATCTCCGTCGTGAAAAGGGTCATCCCAACTCATTGTTGTTGTACCAACCTTGGCACAGGCTTGAGAACTCATCTTTGGGACTGGGAATTTGAACACTCGGAGTAGGATGCGAAGGTGGCTTCATTTTGAATGACCAAATTGATCTTATTCCAAGGCTGGATACTTGGAGGATCATCAAGTCTGGGGCTGGTTGATAGGTATGGTCAATTATAGTTACCCTCCAGTAAACTAACATAGATATATGGAAAATGATCCATTCATAGATGATTTACCTATTCAGAATGGCGATTTTCTATAGCTATGTTAGTTTACCAGAGGGTAGAATCCCGTTTCAAATTGGATCACACCACCTGGGGAACTTATGAAGATCGCCGCTTGAGAACTTTAGTACGTCGTGCTTGAAACTCCCACGTGCATGATTTTTCAAGCATCCAACACTTTTGGAAAGGGCTAAGACTGCTAAGAATCCAGACTTCGTATATCCAAATTTGTTGGGATACCCAAACTTTCCGAGGCGATCCTCCGAGGTTTTTACGCTGTGAAACGCAACGAGTTACGAAACTCGCAGAAGGCTCAAAACGCCCGCGCTGGCCCCGCGCCGAAGTTGGGTCGTGGTGCAAAATCGGCATCGCGCGGCGCCCGCAGGCGGGGAGCATGGACATGGAGCCGGACGGAAGATGGGTTTTGTTTTGGCAAAAGGGACCTGGCCCTCACTGGGAAGGGTTTCCGGAGTGGGAATTCGTGCCCAAAATGGCTCTTCACATGCCCAAAATGGCCTTCATTCCAGTTGCATGGAGGATGTGGGAGAGCTGACCAACGCTCAGCAAAGCTGGATAGAAACCAAGGAATTCACCAGAAACGTCCTTAGGATGCTGCCAAAAATGTGTAGTAAATCTAGGGACTTCACATGATTTCACCACGAAAAGCGCGCGTTTTCATGGAAAAAAACCCAGGGTCTTCATGGAAAATCTCTCGTTTCCGAGCAATGACAAGAATCAAAAAGCTTTGAGGATCATCCCATATGTATAGTTCATTTACCCTCCGGTAATTTAACATAGCTATTGAACATGGCCATTTATAGTGAGTTTTCCCATTAAACATGGTGATTTTCCATAGTTATGTTAGTTTACCAGAGGGTATAATTCAGTTGTACATGGGAAAGCCCCACTACATGGGGACTTACTCAAAATGGGGATATGTCTATGAAACCAAGACTTTTATTGGGATATCATTGAAATTTCACGGGAATTCATGGAGGTTTCCTAAAATGGGAGTAGCCCTAAATCATCCATGTTAATGGGATTTATCATTATAAATCATCCAGCTATTGGGGTACTCCATGACTTAGGAAACTTCCAGTCATATCCCATGTTCTTTTTGGTACCCTCTGGTAAACGTTTACATAACTATGGAAAATCACCATGCTATTAATGGGAAAATCAACTATAAATGGCCATTTTCAATAGCTATGTTAGTTTACCGGAGGGTACATGTTTTCCTGTCGTCCTTTACGACAGGATGTCGTTCCGTGAGCTCCGGAATTTCTGCGAGATGATGCGGCCCTTGGGGTATCATCGCCTGGTGTCAATGGCATCTTGGCTGCCTCAGGGTGAACAAAATGCATAAGACTTGGATACAAAATCACTAAAAAACGGGAACTTATTGATGGTATCTTGATGATATATGTTGATGGTATATGATGGGATATATATATATTATAATTATATATATACTTATAATATATATGTATATACTCACCCTGCAGGATGAACACATATTACTGTACATGGGCAACACAAAGAACCCTGATTTATGGTGATTAAAACATTTTTTTTTTTTTACATCATCCTTCAAACACATGGTGATATTCCATCGGGAAAGGATGGATTTGGATGATCTACGGGGGCGTGTGGAGACTGGGGGAAGCACTTGTAACTTTCATGTGGGATTCACCCAATGATGAATTGTCAAAACATCAATCATGGCCCATTTATAGATGGTTTACGGTTTACCTATGAATCGTGGATTATTAATGATTATTATTGATTATTGATGATTATTGATTATTATTGATGATTATTGATATTATACAATGACTAATGAGCTATAAACCATTCCCAAATGGACCTTTATGGCATTGGTAAAACCTCCGTTCTGACTGGGATGATGTCTATCATGACCACCAGTCATGGTTGGTGAATCGTTGTTGAATGGGGTGACTATGTCAGAGATGGAAGTTTAAGGAGAAATCCCAGGATAATAGTATGGCACATAAACTATAAACTATCCAGTTTGTAGGCAATTTAATAGCTAAGTTTAAGGATAATAAAGGAGCTATAAATTTGGAGCCATAGAATGGCAGGATGAACCCCAGATGATTTTCTTTGCTAGATTTTTAGAGGCATTCTTGTCAGCGGAATAATGTGGGTAAAACAATAACTGGTTGGTGGTTTGGAACATTTTTTATTTTCCATAATATATGGGATAATCATCCCAATTGACTAATATTTTTCAGAGGGGTTAAAACCACCAACCAGATAATATATAAACAAATACCATGACTGGGGATTGGTAAATTTATCCCATCTATAAAAATGGTGATGACTTGGGGATGCTTTATTGTTTTACCCACATTATACCAGGTAGGCTCGGGCTCTCTGTCTCTTTCAGGCAAAACATATTTGAGTGGAGGGATGAAGCTTGTGCTATGAGAAACAGCATGACCTATAAAATCATATAAAATCTATAAATCTCGGGAGCATCAGTTTCAACCCTTTGATTCATCTCATCATGCCCAGATCTATACATTTTGGGGTCAAATTAATGGGGGCACTACGGGGTGCATGGCGTGACCAAGGACAACTTTCGCCCTTTGGCCGAGTTCGAGATGTTGGGATCAGTGAGGGATGCTGCCGGCTGGCAGTTTACTGTATTTCTTTGATAACTTTCAATATCTTTACATATTTTTACATATGATAACTTATGACTTGAAGTGAAGGCTCACCAAACGAATCCTTGGTTTGCTGTTGAATCTATTCCGTTCGAGGACTCATTTATTGGGGCATTTCATACTAGCCGATTCGGCGATTAAAAAAAACCTGGCATCGGGGTGATCGAAAGTCCCCATCGCTGGGTTTGTTCAATTTGTGTGTGGGTGTCAAAAACACACTCAATTAATGTGGGTAAACCAATTTCATAAACCATCCCCCACATCACCATTTTTTGTTTGGTGGTATAGACTTACCATTCCCAGTCATGGATGATTTATGGCATTGTTTTAGCCACATTACTACCTAGCACGATCAGTACCCAAATCACCAGTCCATGACGATTGGATGATTTGAAGGTGCCACCGGGATGTTGGTTGTATCATGTTGTATCATATGCTGTATCTACACATATCTATACATATCTATACATATCTAACATACATATACAATTATGTGACATTATATATATAATATTATATATAATATTATATATATTATATTATATTATATTATATTATAGTACATTATATTATATTATATTACATTAGATTATGTTATGTTATCTTATGTTATGTTATCTTATGTTATGTTATATTATGTTATGCTTTATTATGTTATGCTATATTAATTATATTACTTATATTATGTTATGTTATGTTATATTAATTATATTATGTTATATTATGTTATGTTATGTTGGGTTACATTATATTATGTCATATTTGATTATATTTGATTATATATATATATATAATGTTATATATTAGATATAATATACGTATGTCAAGACATTTGTATATCCCATAAGTCACTAGTGGTAGCATATTATCACTATATATCCGATCACCCTGGAGGAACCCCAAACTTCGAATAGTGATTAATATATGTTTTACTGTTTACTATTGAAATATCCAGTGGTAGCTTCTGTATCCCATGATTGATATCCCATGATTTTTCATGGCAACGTGGCGTCATCCAGGAACCCCAAACTTCGAGTTGGTGGCCGACATCTTGGACTGGCTACTGCACCGCTTTGAGCCTGGCATCGCCATCCCCGATGACATCAGCCCCTCGGCGGTGGTGCTGGTGATGCCATCCACGATCTTATGTTTGTTGGTTTATAAAGCCAACTAGTTGGTTCTATCTTGTACAGCCCCAACTAGTTGCATATGAAAAAAGGTTTAAAAACCCATTCGCTATAGTTATATCCCCCATTCATCAACCCAACAGTTCACCAAGTGAACTGTGCGTCAAGCTGTCGCAGCTTTCGTCAGATCGGGGGCCTCACCTTGTACGCGAACGTCGAAATGGGTCACATGTTGGATTTGAATTGATATTAACATGCGGATTGGATGGAAACTCCAATTTTTCTTTTGATCTGGGGATTTATTGGGATATTGATGGTCTATAGTTCTATATTTTATGCGATATATTAAACCAACCAACTCTAGGCAAAAGTTGGATGATTTTCAAATCGTAGGATGATCATCACCCCCATGGGGGTTCGTGTAGCCATCATGTTTGGAATCCCGCTGATGGCACGATGTCTATACTCCATTTAATCCCATGTATCTTGACCATGGGAAAACTTTGACGAAGTTCGGCGATTAGCCTAAACGGCTTATAGCTATACATAGCGGAAAATTCACCATGTATAGCTACACCTAGGTTTATCATAGGTTTTATCATCGATATAATATAACTGGCTATTTTCCGACTGGCTTATCATCTGTGTTTTTTGCCGAGGCTTCCATAGCTATGTCAAATTTCGCCCATCCTGCTTATTTCACCACCGAAGGGAGAGATGCAAAGTTTTTGAAGAGCTAGTCTACGAAACGATAGTATATGATAGTATATGATAGTATATGATAGTATATGATAGTATATGATAGTATATGATAGTATATGATAGTATATGATAGTATATGATAGTATATGATAGTATATGATAGTATATGATACTTATTTTCGTTATATAGTTTACCAAAATATACTGTTATATATATCTACGAAATCTACTGTTATATAGTTTACCAAAAGGTATGTTTGAAAATATGATAGTATATGATAGGATGCATTATTTTCAAACATACCTTTTGGTAAACGTTTACAGTTCGCTATTGAACATCACCATTTTGGATAGGTCAATCAACTATTTAACTATGGTATATTTTCAATAGCAAACTGTTAAATTACCAGAGGGTAGTCTATGAAAGCATTGCCAATAACAATGGGGACACGACTTGTTAAACCTGTCAAAAAAGAAGGATAGATTCACTATACCACTACCCGTGAAAACTCAACATACGAGCAACTTAGAGATAGTTCATCGGTTTGTGTGGGTTATAAATTTAATGATTGATCGCCGCCCCATAGTTCCACTTATTGTTGACAAAGCAGCCATGGATCCACAGTTTTTGATCGTGTTTGAATCCATAAACCAAGCAGATTGAGAAGCACTTTTAGTCTTATCCCATGTATATGTATATACAATTATTTATATATATGTATATATACTCCACTTATATATTCTAACTATTCCATGGCGTTATGCGTTCATTGTCAGATTCTGAAGACACTTCGCGTT